AACATAGGCCTAGAATGGCTGGCTACTGGAAGTTCAATCTGTCCTTACTGGACAGGCGGGACTTCGGGAGCAGCTGACTAACTTAGTGCAGCGGGAGCTAGTGGGGGCGGTTATCGGGAATAGGTGGTGGGACAGACTTAAATGTAGAATTAGGTCCTTCACCACTGATTTCAGCAAACGGCTCGCCCTAGATAGAGCTGATAAGGTGAGGACGCTTAAAGCTAGTCATGCCCGGGCGGTGGCTGGGGGATCCCCTAGAGATAGCCGTAGCTAAGGAGGCTCTGCAGCGTTTGAATAGCGAACGCTACATGGGCCAGGTAATTAGGCATAGGTTAAGCAAGATGTCTTCCGAAGCCGTGAATATGGGCGCAGATTTGCGCAGGGAAGAGGTCCGTCGAGGTGGCGATCGTTATATTCGTGAAGTCAAAACCCCGGAAGGGCGCACCCTTCGGGCCACTGACGACATTTGCGAGGCGTTTCGGCGGCATTTCGAGAGCCGTTTTACCAGGGAGCCTGGTCTTCGTGAGGACGAGTTTCGCAGCTATTTGGCTGACTTTCCTCGGCTTTCGCCGACTGAAGCGGCTAGCTGCGAGGGGGAGAGGTTACCGAGGGCGAGGTCTACGCGGCTTTGAAGAAGGTCGGCAGAGGCAAGTCGCCCGGTCTGGATGGTCTGCCCTATGAAGTGTACTTGAGGCTGTCGCACATCTTTGTCCCGATTTTGACGGTCGTCTTCAACAACTGGTTCCGGCAGGGGTCCCTCCCCGACCGGTTCTCCAGGGGTGTGATCACACTGTTGAAAAAGGGCAAGGGTGTCGGGGGGGAAACTAGACGACTACAGGCCCATAACTCTGCTAAACACAGAGTTAAAGATTATGGCCAGGATCCTGCAGGAGCGCTTGCAGTCAGTTGCCGAGTCTCTGTTGGGTCCCGAGCAGACCTGTTCTGTGAGGGGTCGAACAATTCAGAGCAACCTGCATTTGATCCGCACGATCATAGAGGGTGTAAAAAAGACGACGAGTGTGCCGCGCTGATCAATTTGGATCAGTCCAAGGCATTTGATAGGGTTGACCATCGCTACCTTGCTGCTGTCCTGCAGGCCGCCGGATTCGCACCCGACTTCTGCCGCTGGATTAGCCTCCTGTATCGCTCCCCCAGTGCTGTGGTACAGGTGAACGGAAAGCTGTCGGGCGCTTTTGCGCTGTCTAGGTCGGTTCGTCAGGGTTGCCCGCTGTCGCCCCTACTTTACGCTTTGGCGTTGGAGCCTCTCCTTCGCCGGCTGAGGGACGGGGCGAGCAGGCCGGCCCTATGCGGAATCGCCGTTCCTGGCGGGGCTCGAGCCAGGGTTTCCGCGTACGCCGATGACGTAACTGCTTTCGTGTCGTCCCGCAGAGGCATCAGGGCAGTACAGAAGGCGCTTGATCGGTACGAAAAGGTGACAGGGGCCAAGATTAACCGCGACAAGTCGTCCGGCTTGCGGTTAGGCGCCTGGAAGGGGGTCGATCTTCCGGGGCCCTTCGGTTGGACGGACGGTCCTGTCCGCATTCTCGGAGTGTGGTTTGGACCCGACCTCCAGCTGGAGAAGAATTGGTCTGAAGTACGAGCAAAGGTCTACGCCGCCGGTCAGACTTGGCGTCGACGGAGGTTGTCCGTGAAGGGCAGGGCGGAGGTGTGTGCTACATACATTTTCCCTCTTGTCCTTTATCGATTGTCCGTACTTCCTCTCTGTGACGACCACAGGATACCGCTCGAGCGCGCGCTAACCTCCATTCTGTGGAGGAGACGCGCGAATCAGGTCGACAGAGAAGTCTGTGCACAACGTCCGTGTCATGGGGGGCTGGGAATGCCACACTTGCTGAGCCACAAACGTGCCTCGAGGTTGGCTTTCCTACGCCGCGCTTTGACAGGTAGAGATCCGATTATTGAGGGGATTGTGAGGGCCGCCTTCCCTCGCCTTACCATCAGTCCCCCAATCTGGCGGGTGGATCGCCGTCGTAAACCCCGGGTTCAATCGGTTTTCTTTCGCGAGTGTCGGTCGGCCTTGTTGGCTGTCCCTTGGTCCAGTGACCTTTCTCGGCCTAGGAAGGTCTTCTATCGTTTGCTAGTGGAGGGGGTCGCGAAGGATCCCCTACGTAAGGATCTCGACATGTCGGAGGATGAGTTTCGCTCTCACTGGTCTTGGGCGCCAGCGGCGGATTACCTCAGTAACCCTGAGTTTTCGCTTACCTGGCGACTGGCTCGGAATCGGCTGCCTCTCAACGACATGGCCTTCATATGGGGTTTGGCGGATTTGCCAGACTGTGAACGGTGCGGCCTTGGTCTAGAGGAAACGGCTTCGCACGCCTTCTTCCATTGCCCCCGTGTCCGCCCCTTATGGGACCATGTCGGCGAGCTGACGGCTCGTCTCGCTCCCGAAAAGCTTGTGCCCATGGATCGCGCATACGCGTGTGACAATGTGTCGCCCCCGTATTCCGGGGTGAAACGGATGGTGTTTCTCATGCTGCTAGCCACGGCCCGAATGGTGATATGGACGACGCGAGAGGAGGAAGTCTTGCGAGGTATCCGTCTTTCTCATCAGGATCTGAATCGATTCTTTGAGCATCAGCTCAAGATGAAGATCAGAACTGATAGAAAACGCTTGCATTCGACAGTCTTCAGCGAAAGGTGGGTGACTGAGGCGAGCTTGGTTCGTGTGAACGGGGCTAGCCTTTATTTTCTGTTTTAGGTCATGCCTACGCTACATCGGGGTGGCTTCCTGTGGTGCCCCCTCCCTTGGTTAGGTTAGACAAGCTTTGGTGTACCTAGTTAATGCGAGTAAGTGTTGTTCCCGGCCTGCCCCTGGCCACATCTTTAGTTATGATCCAGCCTGAGATTCCCAACCTCCCCAGTTTTTTTTTGATCCCCCACTTTCTATCTCGACTGGGTCAGCTTTATACTTCCCCATGCCCGTATGATTTTTTTTTTATCACCTTTCCCCTCCCTTAGCGAGAGAGCTGCTTGATTTTGTTCCATGGGCAGAATACAGTGGTCTCCCTGCATTTTGAGGGTTGGAAGGGCCCTACTAACATCAGTTAACGTTTTATTTTCATTTATGTTAATATTTTAGTTTGTTATTGGGTTCACATCCCCCCCCCATTTCATTTTTTCATCTTAGATTTTTTTTTTGTACATATGTGTTAGGATCATTATGACATGGGGGCGCGTTTTGTAGGTCTCCCCCTAGAGTGGATGTGGTATTATGGTGCAAGGAGGATTGTTTGATGATGGACGAGTTCTTATGGTGAATGAGCAAATTGTAATGTCTGAATGGGTCGTGAATCAAATTAGCTAGGTATAAGATAGTTAGTGAAGACCAGCCTTACCCCCCCCCTTTTTTGGCCTTGTGCCACAATTTTGTATTTTTTATAAAATAAATAAAATCTCGCCTGGATCAAAGTGTAGTACGCTGCCTTTGTGAACTTCCGGTGCTTTTGTCGAAAGTGTTACTCTTCGGCGCGATCCCGTCTCCACGGTCGATCCGCCCTGGAAGGTGTAACACCTCTCTGACCTCGCTTCCCTAGTGATACACTCTGGCGCGATCCCGTTTCCGCGGTCGATCCGCCCTGTGGAGTCGTATCACTGTGCTGCCTTGGCCCTGTTTAGGGACTCCGTCTTCGCCTGGTGATACACTTTGGCGCGATCCCGGCGTCGCGGTCGAAAGTCGTATCACTGTTCTGCCTTGGCCCTGTTTAGGGACTCCGTCTTCGCCTGGTGATACACTTTGGCGCGATCCCGTTCCGCGGTCGATCCGCCCTGTGAAGTCTATCACTGTTCTGCCTTGGCCCTGTTTAGGGACTCCGTCTTCGCTATTCGGCCGAACCAGCTACGTTCGCCGACCAACCCTAAACTACCGGGCCAGACCAACCCTACGTTACCGGACCAGACCAGACTATATTCGACCGAACCAGCTACGTTCGCCGACCAACCCTACGTTACCGGACCAGACCAACTATATTCGACCGAACCAGCTACGTTCGCCGATATTCAACTTTATACGAAACCCTAAACTTCGGACCGGATCAACTATATTCGACCGAACCAGCTACGTTCGTCGATCAACCAGTCATACCGGACCCACACCGATGTAAACGTGTTAATAAATTCGACACTTTTGTTCATAACAAAAACCTTTGCCTTTGTCCCGTCATTGTCTTGGCTGTTCACATTTATCGTACATAAAAACCTTGCGGGGGCGACATCCATCGGCCCCGCAACAAGGTGACTTCCCGACGTGAGACAGCTAAGCGATGATGGACTCGGCTAAAAGTGATTCTTTGGACATGACGGCTGCGATCATACCTCTGCCTGCATACCACCATAATGCCAAGAATTGGTATATGAGGAACCAGCTGGGAAAGCACAACGTATCAGAGAAGGTTCTTCGAGGTTTATGGCTGGAGCATTTGCCTAAATCTGTCGCTCAAATCATCGCACCAATGACGAGAGCTACGCCTCTGGACGATTTGGCGGAATCTGCTGATCTAGTTTTCGCACAGTTCGACCACAGCGTTAACGCTGTTCGCGCCCCCGACATAGCAAAGCACGAACGCTACGAGCCGAGTAAAACAGAACGGGCGTTGGCCGACCTTCAACGGCAAATTCGGGAGCTCCAGATCCCCCAGCCGAGAACGGCAAAGCGACCAGGGTGTTTGTTGCTTTCATCGCACATTCGGCGATGGGGCCAGGAATTGTAAACCTCCCTGTACACACCCGTCGGCCCGGGGAAACGAATAAACCGGAGAGTCGCGACGACTAACTCTTCCGGTGCCAACACGCAATGTCGTCTATTTTACGTTTTGGATCGACGGAACAAGTTGAAATTCCTAGTGGACACAGGTGCGGCCATCAGCGTGGTACCCCTTCAGAACGACCACACCGCTAAGCCCACCCTGGTCAAACTACGAGCTGCGAATGGTTCCGCGATAGACACGTACGGAGAAAGGACCCTTACTCTGAATATCGGCATGCGACGCGATTTCACTTGGACATTTACCGTGGCCAACGTGAAGGTACCCATCCTCGGCTCGGATTTCCTGGCGCATTACGCACTGGCGGTCCATATGAACCCTAGGACTCTGTCCGATACGACTACGAATCTCCGTGTCTTAGGTACCCCTACACGTCAAGGCTCCACAGGAATCAGCGTCGCAACATGCCATGGTCGCGAGTACTTAGATCTCCTGACGCAGTTCACGGATATAACGCTGCCACTCCAAGTAACGGCTTCAGGTGACCATCAGACTCAGCACCACATCAGAACCCGAGGTCCTCCCGCACACTCCCATCCGCGACGACTCGCTCCGCACAAACTGGCGTACGCCAAGGAGCAATTCGACAAAATGCTCAGTGATGGCATCATTCGTCCTTCCGATAGCCCTTATGCCTCGCCACTACACTTAGTGCCTAAACCTGGTGGTAAAGAATTTCGGATATGCGTCGACTACCGAAAATTAAATGCATCGACCGTACCAGACCGATATCCTGTCCCTCATATCCACGATTTTGCATCCGGATTGATGGGGGCTCGCATCTTCTCAAAAATCGACCTGACAAAGGCATACCATCAGATCCCCGTCGCTGCGGAAGACGTCCCTAAAACGGCAGTCACAACACCGTTTGGCCTATACGAATTTCTGAAAATGCCGTTCGGCCTACGTAACGCTGCCCAGACCTTCCAACGGCTCATAGACGAAGTCCTGCGCGGACTTCCGCATGTATACGCCTATATCGACGACATCTTGGTGGCCAGTACAGACGCCGATTCTCACAGACAACACCTGCGAGAAGTCTTCCAGCGACTCTCGCATTACGGCCTGAAGTTGAACCTGGACAAGTGCGTTTTCGGGGCGCCCAGCGTTGACTTTCTCGGGCACCGCACCGACGCAAACGGCATAGCACCTCTGCCAGACAAGATCAGCTCGATCCGGGATTTTCCCACACCGACGTCCATGAAGCAATTGCGACGTTTCCTCGGTATGCTCAATTTTTACCGTCGGTTCATACCAAATTGCGCTACCATCCTCCAACCACTGACGAACCTGCTGCAGAGAAGGAATAAGGACATCTCGTTGGAGGGAGATGCTCTGCACGCATTCCATACAGCGAAGGCTGCATTGGCAAATTATACCAGGCTCTCGCATATCAACGACGATCCAGAGACGCGACACTTCCTGACAACCGACGCATCGGACGCTGGTGTGGGCGCGGTGGTTGAGCAAGAGTTCAACTCACAACGCGAACCCATCGCATTCTTTTCAGCCAAGCTTTCGCCAGCCCAGAGAAAATATAGCACCTTCTCCCGAGAGCTGCTGGCCATTTATCTGGCCGTCAGGCATTTCAGGCATTTACTGGAAGGTCGAGATTTTACCATCTATACCGACCATAAACCGTTGACAACCGCGATGAGTAACAACTCTGACAAGTATACAGCTCGCGAGATCCGGCATCTCGACTACCTGTCACAGTTCTCGACCGATATTCGTCACATAAAGGGAAGGACAACGCCGTCGCAGACACATTATCGCGAGCGGAAATTCAATCTCTTCAGACCGGCGTCTTGGGTCAAGATTCCATAGCCGCTGAACAAAAAAATCCGACCCCACGCTGCAGGACGTCCTTTCAAATACTTCTTTAAAGCTTCGGGAGTTCCTGCATCCTTCAGCGACGACACCCTGTACTGTGACACCAGCCTAGCAAGCCCTAGGCCCTACATCCCACCGACACTTCGGAGACAGGTATTCCAACATTTCCACGGGCTGTCTCATCCGAGTAAGAGAGCTACGGTCAAACTTATTACCGACCGATTCGTTTGACCCAATATGAATGCGGACATTCGAGAATGGGTTTCCACGTGCATGGAGTGCCAGAAGTGTAAGGTCCACCGACACACTAAATCCCCCGTCGGCACCTTCAGCAGTCCCGATGCACGGTTCTCACACATACATGTCGACTTAGTGGGACCGCTTCCGATGTGTCAGGATTACCAGTATCTTTTGACGGTTGTGGATCGTTTTTCGCGGTGGCCGACCGCCATACCTATAAAAGACACTTCTGCTAACACCGTCTCTAGGACCATCCTGAAAGAGTGGATTGGAACTTTCGGCACGCCCCAAGTCATCACGACCGACAGGGGTCACAGTTCCAGTCGTCCCTTTTCGGGAGTTTACCAATCTACTTGGCGCCAAGCACATAAAGACTACCGCTAATCATCCGTGCGCCAACGGCTTAGTTGAGAGGTTTCATCGGTCCCTTAAAACCTCCTGGCCACTAGACCTGACACTATCAATTGGGTGGACGACCTACCTTTAATTCTCCTAGCATTGAGGAACACCGTAAAGGAGGACTTAGGTTGTTCACCCGCCGAACTGGTTTTCGGTACACCTCTTGCGCTACCCGGCAAATATTTCGACGACTCCTTCAGACGTTTTCAAAACCAACATCTCCTTTCGTCGAGGAACTCCGCCACAAAATGGCCCGGCTTAAATATGCAACTCCGCGACAGCAACCGGTGAATTCGTACATCCCTCAACACTTGCGAGATTGCAAATTCGTTTTCGTACGGAACGACGCCGTGAGACGACCACTCACGCCGGCATACCAAGGTCCTTTTCAGGTTCTTCGACGCACCGACAAGCACCTTACGATCAAGCGCGCCAACTCGACCGACACCATCGCAATCGATCGGACCAAGCCTGCTTTTCTGGAGAAGCGACAGTATGACGCAAACCCGGCTCTGCGGCCCCCTAATGCTATTCCAGCGCACCCAACAGACGCAGCAGACGCAGCACCGCAGACATCAAACGACACCCCAGCGACTCCTGTGCGGCAGACCCGATCCGGTAGGAGGGTCACTTTCCCTAAAGACCTTCGTAAATATTATTATTATTAATTGATATGATCAATTTTCTAGGGGAAGGGCCTTGTCGCGGTCGCCGATTATCCGCTCCTTAGAAAACCGACCTTGACCTTCACAACTCCCGATCTCGCAGATCTAGGTCAAGCAACATGCGAGAAACCGGACGGCTAGTCCAATATCGTTGATGCCAAACTATACCTAGTGTGCATCTGACTATGCAGAGCCATTCCAAACATCAGCAACCATAGACAGTAATTAATTATCTACGGTCTTCTACTCCCTCTAGCCAGGGAGCACTTGAACAACTCTTTTCCAAATATTCTTAGCCACTTATTCTGCTCGCCCGGAGGCCTGGATCAAAGTGTAGTACACGCTGCCCTTTTGAACTTCCGGTGCTTTTGTCCAAGTGTTTACGATCCCGTCTCCACGGTCGATCCGCCCTGGAAGGTGTAACACCTCTCTGACCTGCCTCGCCTGGTGATACACTCTGGCGCGATCCCGTTTCCGCGGTTGATCCGCCCTGTGGAGTTGTATTACTGTGCTGCCTTGGCCCTGTTTAGGGACTCCGTCTTCGCCTGGTGATACACTTTGGCGCGATCCCGTTCCGCGGTCGATCCGCCCTGTGAAGTCGCATCACTGTTCTGCCTTGGCCCTGTTTAGGGACACGTCTTCGTATTCGCCTGGTGATACACTTTCGCCGACCCTGTTTAAACGGTCATCACCGGGCCAGATCAGACCTAAACTACCGCCCCTCCGTCTTCGCTATTCGACCGAACCAGCTACGTTCGCCGACCAATCCTAAACTACCGGGCCAGACCAGCTAAACGTTCGACCAGAACCAGCTACATTCCTAACCACCTATATTCGGGCCAGACCAGCTATAAACTACTGGGCCAGACCAACTACATTCGACCGAACCAGCTACGTTCGCCTACCAATCCTAAACTACCGGACCGGATCAACTACATTCGACCGAACCAGCTACGTTCGTCGATCAACCAGTCATGACCGGACACCGATGTAAACGTGTTAATAAATTCGACACTTTTGTTCATAACAAAACCTTTGCCTTTGTCCCGTCATTGTCTTGGCTGTTCATTCATATACAGCAGTAGTCCTGATACTTTTTATCAGACAACGTATATACGTAATCATTACAAATTTCGACATGATATTCCTGGAAATAAAAACGTTTATCAACTAAGTATTTCCTTGTCCGATTTCAAAGAAAGAAGCAGCGAGGCATTCTCGCTGATTTACTCAATTCGAAAAATTTACTCAATGGCGGAACATCTGGTCGCATTTACGGATCGTAAACTTTTCGGACCGAAACTTTTCGGACCGCTATTGTGTATTTGGTCAGCAACACATCTTTAATGCATATTTCATATAAGTATGTTGTTTTCTGGACAAATATTGTGTAAAAATGCATTATATATATATATATATATATATATATATATATATATATATATATATATAATACATTTAATTCGTCTGAAGATCACGTGTGCGTGAACCTCGCTTTACGGCTAGAGTCACAATTTGATAGGATTTAACGTTGTTAAAAGCATATATATATATATATATATATGTGTGTGTATATATATATATATATATATATATATATATATATATATATATATATACGTGTGTGTGTGTGTGTATGTTTGTGTGCACGCGCATGAAGAGAGCCGCCATCGAAATATTAATCTACGCCCCGGTTTCCTTTTTACCAATATCACCTTTGCTATCAGATGCTCTCCGATTCCGACATACACAATAAATATATCTAGAAATCAAAAGCAAACGGTTGAATCCATCAACACAAAAATACAAACAATATTTCTACAGTGAAAATATTCTCTTCAGACATAAAGTAATTGACGTAATTTTTCACTTGATCATAGGTTTATAAAATAGCATTTCTAAATTCTTCTAGTTGCTAACGGCATTTTGCCTGTTGTTTATAGATACTTTGTTTCAATAAATTCTTTTTGTTTTTCCCTTGAAATGATCCACATCGCGTCAGATAAAACTACAGATTTCCTATTGTCTACATAAACACACACACACACACACACACACACACACACATATATATATATATATATATATATATATATATATATATATATATATATATCATTTAAATTTAAACCAAACTTATTCCTCAATCGACATATTATCTTGTGTTTCTTCATCATATAATATCAATATGTCGGTAAAATTTATAATCCTTTCCTTAAAGGAATATTTCGTAAGTCATATACTTAAATTATTCCTTTAATATTTATGTTTTATGTATTTTGGGGATGCTGGCAATAGAACGTGTATTGAAGAAAGAAAAACACTTTCATGTCGGAAGATGATCTGCCTGGAGAAGTTAGTGAACTGTTACTTCCAAACTTCTCTTTCAAATATGCAATTCAATTTTTGACAATTTCCTTTTTCGTTGCTTTAATTAAAACGTTGTCCGCCCTGACATGATATATCGGGGACATGTAATTTCAGGTTCTGCAATGTCTCCATTACTGCTGGCGGTTATATTTGCATTTTAATTTGCATGGACAAATATCAGTGACACTCTGTGCATATTCCTATATAAAACTATGTAATTTTCTGCATAATTTTGGTAAAATACCTTTGACTCTATGTTTCTCTCAACTTATTCTTGAATGCTATCTAAATGTTTAGTAGGGATATAAAAACTATCTCACCCACCGTCTTAACTGATGATGATTTCCAGGTAGACGAACTTATCGACTGTCTTGATATCTTATTGATATCGTCACACTGGATCTTGTCTATTGCTTACCCTCATGTTTTCCCGACGTTGGGTAGTCTTCTCCGCTTCTTCAGCAATACGACTTAGCTTCTCCTGCGCATATTGTTATTTGTGGTAGAAAAGGCTGATGTCGTCTGCGAAGTCCAGATCTTTCAGTTGTTTCTTCAAGGTGTACTATAAACCACTGTCGACATGCTTTCAATATTTTGCGGTCTATTTGGAGGTCAACAGCCATCTCACTTCCGGGTTTACAACACCAACGTCAAGTCGGTCCTAATTTACGGCTCAAAAACATGGCGGGTAATCAAGCCCATTACCAACCAACTTGAGACATTTACTCACTGATGACTCAGAAAGATTATCAATATCAGGAGGCCGAAAGACGTCTCCTAGTACCAACAAGACCCAATCAAAATTGACATCAAGAAACGGAAATTGGGACGGATCAACCACACACTCGGCAATCCCGCTTCTACTATCATCAGGCAGGTTCTTGACTGGAATCCACAAGGAAAGAGAAAAGAGGGCCGATCAAAAATGACTTGGCGCAATAGTGTTGACGGAGAGGTGAAAGCAGCCGACACGGTATTGGTCGAGCTAATGAAGTAACCAAAAAGCATAAATAATAATAAATAATATAAAAATTAAGCCTAACGAAAAATTACATTCCACAACAATATTTGCATAATTAATTGAATCATTAATATATGGTGTAGTAATCTTACTTTTTCATCATCATCATCATCATCATCAGTAGTCCCCTGATTGCATTAATCGTTGGTGGTACCTAAGGGGAGAAGAAATAGACAACCTCTTTCAGAAAGATCTCTTGACGGTTCCACTCTCATGTCCGCCCACTATTTGAATTTAATTGAATTGCCTTTGTCTTGCTGTCCATGATTACCTCCACTTTTAGCAGCACCTTCCATGATGGTATTGCAGAGGCTGTTATACCGTGTGACGTGTCAATCTATGACATCAACCGACGCTTAATAGTGGTGAGAAGTAATTCCTGTCGTCCCATGAGACTTTATGACCTTGCTCCGTTCATAATCCTTGATTTAGTAATTAATGTGGAGCAATATTCCCAAGCTTCTTTTTTTTTTAAATGCATAGATCATTTCTTGTCTCAATCAATAATGTCCAAGTCTAACATCCCTAGAGGAAAATAGATTTAATCAGCGATATGTAGACCTTGAACTTGATCTGAAAAATGAAGTTGATCTTCCATATCCTTTCCAGTGTGGCCATCGCTGCCGTGGCTGTAGTGTTCCATATGCTGATTACTGTGAAGCAGGTGCCATCTTTTCACAGGTTTGCCCCCACCCCTCAATATTTTAAGCTGGGACGCCAGTTGTTTGCCGTCCATGGGGACGCTGGCAGTGGTGTTGGCTGTGCTATTCACCATTACATTGGACTTCTCTCTGTTGAGTTCCATTCCATATGAGTCGACTCTTTCAACGTGTTGTAAGTCAGGATTTGCTGCTCGTTTTTAATACCAACAATAAGAATATCTTCCGCGAAACGCATGTTGTAAACAAGTCTACCACTGATAAAGTGACATGGTCGTTGAGAAATTCCTGCATGGTTGTCTCTAGAAACAGGTTGAAGAGGTTTGGTGGCTGTATAGACATCCCAATTTAACGCCGATAGTCATCTGGAAGAAATCTGCCGGGTGGATACGCAAGATAACTTTACAGCTGGCAAACTCATAAAACCTATCTTCTCTGTAGTTTTGAATACATGTAAATCATATTCATAGCCGATTATGAAGGATTTACGTGTTATACATACATACACACACATACACACACACACACACATATATATATATATATATATATATATATATATATATATATATATATATATAAATTCATGAATCATTCATACAAAAAAAACAAATATAGAGGTTCATGATTTAAATGGTGAGAATACATCTTCGAAAACAATATCAATAACATACACCAACCCCGAACCTGTATATGAATGATATGATCCCCGTTTATAAATTCCAGTTGCATAAGGTCTTTTTAATATTTTACAAGCTTTCGTCTGTTCCTACAGACATCCTCAGGTATGGAAATAGATTTGTTCTTGTTTTTACTCGCCATTTAAATCATTAACCTCTATATTTGTTTTTTTTTTTTTTTTGGATTCATGAATTTATAAATTAAAATTGCACCTATAATTGAAATATATATATATATGTGTGTGTGTGTGTGTGTCTGTGTGTGTCTATGTA